TAAGTTGATTTATGTTTTTACTTCATTGTATTGTTTTTTGGTATTGGTTTTCTTTATTCTTGTTGTAAACCATTCAGAGTGCCTCTGGCTAAGCAAACACTATATAAAAGCTTTTATAAATAAATATATAAAGAAACCCTTGAGAGCCACTGCCACTCAATGTTGGCAATATTAGACTAAATGGTTTTGTGATCTCACTCAGTCCGGCTTTTTTGTTCCTGTGACATTCACTTATCTTATAAATGGTTTCAATTCTCTACACATACTTTTCGAACATCATTTGAACATCTGTGTCAGAGATGTCTATTTGTGCAATGCCTGAAACAGTCTTCATTCTTTATCCAGGTTTTTCTAGGTTTCACACTGAATACTCACTATTGTTTCAATATGGTAGCCACTTATAATGATACCATGAAGATGCTGTTCCATGAGGCAAGTTGTTTGTGTGAAACTGCTTCCCCTTGTGGTTTGGGTTACCCTCAACATCCCTGTGCTAATTATGAAAAGGAAGGTTTGTGTTAGCATGGGAAAAAAAACACGGGGGATCCAGTTGTGCAGATGGCAGCTTGCATACAATTATTCCTCCATAATTGCTCTATATCCATTAATCATAGACTTTAGGGAGTTGCTTCCAGTATAACACCAGTAGAAAAATGGTAAAAGTTGCCATTTTTCAACAGTTGCACAACTACTAGCAGAACTGATAGCACAAACACCATTTGTCCTAATGAAATTCTAATGAATTGTGGGATGCCTTGCACAAGTAAGATTGAAGTATCAGATCTGATTCATGTGTGAGGCTGGAAAAAGCATTACCACAAGTAGTAGAATCTTAGACCTGATTCATATGTCACAGCCACAAACCGCGATGAGCATGTTGGGTGTGTGTAGCCACCATTTCCAATATGTAGCCCACAACTGAGGTGATCGGAAAGTTGGCTATGTCATGTAAACCCAATATAGTGGGTTATTCAAGGGTTAGATAACTTTCACAGAACCCTTGGTTAATAGTAGGGTTCTATGAGAGTTATTTAAGTTCAAATAACACACAGCATCTGGGTTTGCACAAAACCCTACTCAAGAGATTTTATAGTCAGTATGAAGATTGCATGCATCCAGTGCATACTATGCCTCACTGTGAGTTGAATTACTCACAGTGAGCAATCTAAGTCATATGAACCAGCCCTTAGCATCTACTATTATTATTAGCAACAGTAATGTTAATTTAGTACCATGTTCTCAAATATTATACTCAAGGGAGGAGTAATTTATGTCAGTATGTTCTTTTGCCTTTAATGACTTCTGAAGTTACTATTTAGTAACTTTACAATAAAGTAATTCCAGTGTCCCAGTAAGAGTGCTCATGGGATCCACATCTACCTATCAACATTTGCAATAGCATTCAAATATTTTAACAAAGGTAGGGGTATGTGTGTGTGTGTAAGAGAGAGAGAAAGAGAGAGAGAGAGAAGGCATATTCTGTTATACTGGACTCCAATGCCAAATGTGAGGAGGCAATATATGGTATATATTAGAAAATGGATAGCTTCTGGTTCACTGTTGCAGGTAAGTGGCTTCACTGCAGGGTCTCTGCTTTATGAGCAGGCTTTCCTAAACATATAATGTTACAGTTGTCACATCTGTTTGATTTAAAACAGGTATAATTTGCTGTGCTTTATTCTTTCCAGCTTCCATTGTTTTGCAAAGAACTTATGCTGCAGAAAACAAGTGTGGTGTTCACAAAATGTCACCCACATCATTAGATATCTAATTAATGTTCATACTTAACACTAAACATTCTGTAGAGATGTTCTACTGGGAATCCATAAACTTTATGTTTTGAGATCTGAACTCTTTCATTTTGTCTCTTATTACTTTGAAATATGTGTTGAGACATATTTAATATAGAAAAAGTTGCTGTCTTCATCCACTGTGTGTGATATTTGTTCCCCTTTCTTCACCCTGCAGACCAAAATGGAGCCAATATTTTGCTTATGAGAGACAAATAGAATCAAGGTTGTAAAACTACATTAATAACTTCTTTAAAGTTATTCCTTAGAGTCAGCCAAGCATATGATAGTGCAGAAAATGATAAAACAAAGTATTTCACTTCAAAAAATACCTGACGCATGGCACTATGCTTGCAAATCTGATTATCTAACCCCTGTTTTTCCCTGAAAGGGATACAAGTTTAGTATAAGAAGGCAATAGGACCTCTGGGCTGGTGTTTAGAAGAAAAAGCACAAGCGCTTGGTGGGGAGACATGATCAGTGAAAAAGAAAAAATGATCAAGTTGTGTTGCACTGTGCATTAAATCCTAACACTTTTTAGTGTGACCCAAGTATTTTGGCCAAACTGCACTAAATAATAGAAACATAGAAACAGAGCGAGTCAGAAGGGGCCACCCAGGCCATCTAGTCTGACCCCATGTGCATGTCCAGCCTATCTTTGAACACCCTCACTGATGGGGCCTCAACCACCTCCCCTGGAAGCCCATTCCATACCCTCGGGGTCCTGACTGTCAGGAAGTCCTTATATTTGCAAAAACATTGATTTGTATCTGATGAAATCAATGAACACGAAAGCTTATGCTGTAATAGATGTGTTAGAATTCAAAATAACGTGTGTTGCTTCTACATGCCCAGTAGTCAGCTGGTATCAGTTGACAGATGCACCATGTTTTCTTGAGCACCCTCTATCCCGGCTGAGCCTTGGCTCAAGTACTAGCAGATGATTGACATTTGCTCAGTTGCAGTTGAGTTTTAACCTCAGGGTCCTGGTCCAGCCAAAGCATCTCACATTAGATTTGAGGTACTTAGGAAGAAAGAAAACCACCTCTGTCAAAGATATGCATTGAGTACACAAAGTAATGAAATATGGATACTTATCAATAAACAAGCACAAGAAAACCTCTAGTCACAGGCCTTCTTTATATGACAAGCATTGCTCCCAGGGCACTAGTTACTTGGACATGTTATGCATACCTGATCCCAAGAAAAAGTCAAAGAACAATGTTCCTTGCTGTAGATTTTGTACCATTATTCTCTCTATGTTTTTCAAAGTCTGCCAATATATACATACTAGTCCTCTTCCTGGGAGAAACGGCCTGGATGGAGAGTGAGAGAAGCTATTCCAATTACCTTTAGCAAAAGGGTGTGTAAAACTCCTTATCTGAAGGATGTGATGAGGAATTCCTAGTGTTTGGTAGCAGGGGGCCATACCTTCATTTTACTCAGGTCTTAACAGGTTTTTCACAGCAATTAAACACAAGTATCTGTGACTACCCTTAATGCCTGTGTGGGACACTGGGGACTGTTCACGCTTAACTTCTCATCACCAACACTGCTGGTCTTCTATGCTGGGTTTCTGAAAAATGATGAATTAGTGAAGTTTACACTTTCTTAGATCTAAGTTTAGATGAGAATTTTGCTGATGCAGAACAGTGACCATGTGAGATGCAGGTGGTAGTCAATGGCTGCTACTGTTTAAGAGGAAAGAGTCCACATTCTCATTGATGGTTACTGCTAAGTAGCAGGGATGGGACTAATGAATGGTCAGCAGCATTATTGAACCATGTAAGATGCTCTGGCTTCTAATGGACACTTGCTTCCACAATGCCACCTGCATGCTTCTAGCTCTGCTCCTTTCCAGTGGCTACTGAAGGATATGGTGCCTGCTCCCAATTCCATTGGTCATGCTCTGTATCCATGACCATATACTGTCCCTCCTTCCCGCCTCATTCTGCTGCTGGTTTGTGGTCGCATTACTTGATTGCTTCTTATCCTGGGGGTTTCCTCATGATAAGCATTTGTTTATTTTGCTGGAAAGATGGTTGCAAAAGCATTTCTGGTAAATGTTCTTCTGGTTGGGCTTAAATCAACACTCCTTTTGAGGTTGTTTTTTAAAGTAGCGTTGATTTTGTTAGAAATTCCTGTCTTATCTTAGTGAGCAGTTATGGAATGGCATGCAAGTAGAAATCCTTAAAAATCCTTTCAGGCTCTGAAAGTAGTTTCAAATAAAAACTTGCATAGTTCATGCATTCACTTAAGTTGGGAAACTCAGCAAAGGGTTTTTTGATAGGTAGTTCAAATGCTGGGCACATGCTATGTCTATGATATGGTCTCCTTTGCTTTTGTTGCTACAACCCCTTGCTAAATCTATTAGAGGGTCTTTCTAGGTATTGTAGTATTTAGTTGATATAATGATTAAAATATATCAATACCCAATGGGTAAGTGTGTCGTTTAAAAGCAGCTGCCAAGCTTTCTCCCTGCTGCTCCAATTAACACATTCAGCACACGCTTGCCAGAGAGTGGTCTGTGTATATGGATTAAACCACTTTGTTGTTTGTCCAGACTGCATTGTACTGTATCAGAAATCATATCTACATTGTTTATTGTTATGCAAACCAAAAGAGAGAAAGAAGGAGAAAGAGAGAGTGTGTGTGAGAGAGAGACAGACAGAGAGAAAAGGAATCACATGACATTTGAAGGTGTGCAGTGTACATAATAGAATAGTAGGTGCTTCTCTGCAGAAAACCTCTTGTGCTTTTAGATGTGGTTCAGTCCATTGAGTAATGTTTATCCCCGCCCCTCTGGCCCCTCTTCAAATGATGGAAACACAGAATAGTGAAATTCTAGTGCTGGGATTCCTCTTGCTGTCAGAGAGATCTTTTGAACTTTGTTCTGTTTTTAAAAGTGTGCTTGAGTTAAACAGCATACCTTTTAAGCATTTGATTTCTTCTTTTTTAAACATTTGCTTTTGGACTGGAACAGTCTCTCTTCAGTTCCTGCAATTCAGGATCTGGTAAAGGTAAAGCAGTGTCCTTTATTGTCTGAGCTGAAACAGATTTTTAAATGGTACCAAGCTGGCTGGTCAAAGGGGCCACTTCTTCTGCTGCCTTTGCTGCTCATTCATGCTCAGACTGCCTTTTGTGAAGCGGGGCTGTTGGGCAACACCAACAAAAGGCACAAGGACCTGATATTGTGGGCTGGTGAATGAGATGGAGCGTTTCTTGGGCTTTGTCAAGCAGATACGAAGATCGAGGAGAAGAAAAGGCAAAAAGTACCGGCCAGAGGAGGATTATCATGAGGGTTATGAGGATGTCTATTATTATGCCTCAGAACACTTTCCAAGTAAGCAATGTATGAATGTGTTTTATGTAGCTAAATGTTCAGGATAGCTTTTAAGCACAAAAGGCTAATGCTGACCAGAATATTGCCATACCTTATATAGGTATTAAAGCATTTCAGAAGCACTGGCTCTTTATTTATCTAGATGTGCTGAGATACATATTTTTAAAAGCTATTTTGATGTGGTAGGATTGAAGAAAGACAGGCATGGTTAATATTTCAGGTGCAGTTAATTGATTTGTATTGTTGCAAGCCTTTTATTAAAGCACTTTAGCCTGTAAACTGATATTGCAGCCCTTTTGTAATGGTGCACGTGTGTGCCTGAGCGTATAGTTCATTCTCTCTCTCTCTCTCTCTCCCCCTCTGCGCGCATATATATATATATATAGGTGTGTGTGTGTGTAACTACAACATTAAAGCACAATGCAAAAGGTAACTGCTGGCACATAAATGGAAGTTACAGCTAAAGACAGACATTACTGGATGGAAGTCAATCTGTTTCTCCTCAAGTAGCTCAAATTTATTTTTCTGGTGTTGTGTGTTCATAATATTGTTGAAGTTTTGGCTAATTATCCTGCTAGTTTATTCTGCTACCAAGCTGCATTTTATAAGAAGACAACAAAAGCCGTTTTAGGAATATCAGTATATAAAGATATAGTGTATTCATAATATGCCCGTGTTTATAAGTTTTCTAAGCTCATGCTACATCTTGTTTCTATCCCAGTGGATTGGAAATGGCCAGAAATGCCTAAGGGAACAATGGGTAACGGAACTACACATAGGCATTGCTGAGTTTATCATGCCATGCTTACAGCTGAGGGTGTTGACAGCTAAGGCAGCCGTGCACAAATGGATGCATAACAATGTGACATTAATTTAAATGAATTTAAAATCTTTGTAGTGAATAGTCTCCATCTACCTTTTCCCAAGCCTTTTTTAAAGAATAACAATATCAACAAGAGTAGAGTTAATGTATCCTTAAAATACACTAAACACAACTGTGTATTTTTACATAGAATGGTTATATTGTAATCTGTACAGAGTGCTGTAGCACATTTCTTTTTCTAGGGAAAAAAGAGAATAAATTTGCAATTCTGGAAAACAAACAAACCTGCAGACATTGTTTCACCTATGAAAAATGAATATGATTTTCTTAATGGATCAGTTTAATTAAACTACTGATACCTATCTTTCAAAACCTTTTCTTTGTTTTGTAAAATACATGTTGTGATACATTTTGATTAATTTTACTGAAATGGTGCATATTAGCAAAATCCTTAACCAGAAAGCTTGAATTGTACAATCTGATAAGTCATCCTAAATTTGTTTCTCTAAGTTGCACGATATTTGCCCAGTCTAACCTCCTAGTTGTTGAGCAAGGATGTCTTTGTACCATCAGGCACTAAAACTAAGGACTCATCATAAACTAATCTGCACATTACTGTAGAATCTGAAAATGATTAAAATGGCAACTTCTGCAACTTTGTTCTTGTTCCACTCCCACAGTGTGGAGCTAATCAAGTAGGTTTTCCCTACTTGTATCTTGGTGAATACATTTGAATAGAAATCAAAAGAAAGCAAAGGAAACAAGTGGGTCAGACATAATTCTATGAAGAATGTCATTGAACAAGAGTATGAGTAGAATTGCCTTGTTACAATTGCTCATTGTCCATCTAGAATGAAATAGCAGAATCATCTCCACATGCTCTAGCAGACTTTCAAGATAAATAGTAATTTCAAGCGGATGGATATGTTATCCAACATTTGCCATCTCAAGAATAACAAAATTGGAAATGTTATCATAATATTAACCGTGAAAAAGGTGCTTCCGCTTGAGATATATATGTAGTGGATTGGGACTGTGTTCTGAGTGTATGTTGGTTTCTAGGTTGGAAAATATGTGCAGTAATTAAGATTCACAGCAGTCCAATAATTCATAGGTAAGATAGAGCATAATATCAATAAGATCTCCCATAATTTCTTCCTTGCCTGGTCTTGGATCACATGAGTTATGCTACTTTATTGCCTAGGAAAGCAGGATACATACTTGACAGAGAATAAGGTGTCAGTAAAATTCTGCTCAGACTTGCTGCTGTTTATATTTACATTTAGTATGGAAGTTTTGTCTTTTCAAAAATCTGTTTCTTTCTATGTATACACAGATACTGTTTCATCAGTTTTTGGGGTTAAAATGGAATCTTTTGATTTTCAAAGCCACCAGCATTTATAGGCATCACTCCTGTGATCAGTAGGAAAGAACATCATATGCATGGGTTTTAAAAAGGAAAACTTTATTAAAATAAGTCTAGGGAAAACAAACATATATAAAAGGAAGTATTTAAATTAAATAATATATACCCAATACAAGTGGTTTTACACCTTAATACCTGTAATCAGGACTGGACATATTATGCTGTGCCAGACTGAGAATTTGGTATTGGACTCCTCATCTAGTTTAAGAATTTCAGTTCCAATTCTAAAACCTATGAACCCAGAAAGTTTCTAAGCTGAACATGAAAAACGTTTTGATATACTCACAAATATGAAAATATGTGCAGACGGCTTCTTCTGTCACTGCCTCACATGTGTTAGAAGTAGGATGAATGGGATGATGTTCCCCCAACCCTATAGAACCAGTATTATTTCATGATTCTGTAGCTACAAAAAAGGGGAGGAGCTTCTCTCATTCCATTTGGAACTCTATAAGATTCCAAACACAGGTGCATTCCCATAAATGAGATCACACAATGGACCAAATAAAGAACCCTACACAGCAGCCCATCTGACTCTACAACGACAGATAAAGCTGCAGTTTTCTCATCATTGTGGCAGCATCATTTTCAGAAATACAAAAATGCTCTTTACTTTTGGATAGTTACCACTGTATTTATACCTGTGACAGATCATGTACTAATACTCTGCATGTAAATATACTCAGAGAGGTAAATCATGAAGACATGTCTAAAACATCAACTTGTTGTTTTAATTTAAATCTGCGAAGGTTCCAGTGGCCTAAGCTACATAGCAATATTGATTCCTGTGGTTTGTGTACATGCCTTTTTATGGCACTTTCCAATCCTGGCACTGTTAACTCTTGTTTTCTGCAAGAGTTAACAGTGACACCCCACATTCAATAACTGTCTCAAGCCATCTTTCAGTCCAGCTGTTGAAGCTCCTTTGCAGATCTGTAGACTGATTTTTTTAAAAAAATGAGGGAGAAGAGAAAAGGTATGTAATACATGTATTCATAATTTTTATAAATATGTACTTTTGGAGTTAGTGCCTGAATGCAACGGAAAATGCAATCATTTCAACAATTACCTGGGATGACATAGTGATTGCATCACAAACAAATTGTTAGGTGGAATAGATTGGATGAACTCATACTAGAATCAATTATTTTACTTTCTCTGTCCACATTGTATCCCTCCTTTCTCCATCCCTCCCAGAAGTTCTTCAGGTTATCCCATTATAATCTTCTCACAATTGTGTGGGTAAGTTAAGTTTTAAGAAACTGAGTGGTCCAGGGTTAGCTAAAGTGCTTCATAACTAAGGCAGATATTAATCAAGGTTTTTTAGTCATATAACACACTTGAATTTGTTCGTATTGGCAGTGCTATGGAGAAAATTGGTTGGATTTGACATTTATTGATTGAAAAGCTAAATTTATGGAATACAACTGAAAGTCATTTGTGGTGCATCTAGTCTTTGTGCTCCATAATATAAAGTTGCTTGCGCAGTTGCAGTTACTTTTTCAAGAAATGTCATCTTTGCTTTATATAAAAAAAAACTTCATTTAGCAGGATTAGAAATGTCAGCCCAGAATTGTCTCTGTGTGGAATGTGGCCCAGAACAAGCCTGGTCTGGGCATATGTTCTTCCTTAGCTTACCTCCTTCAACTGAAGTGGCAGCTCTTCCTCTTGAAAGAAAGAGGAAAAAACAAATTAAAAAGCCCTGGCTGCACCTGCACCATAAACAAATGCTTGGTATGCACGGACTTGCAGGTGAAGCTTTATACAGGGTGAAGATGAATAATGTCACCTGGCAAGTGCTGCAGTTCAAGCAGAAGTTAAAGGCTCAGGTACAGTTGAAGGAGGGAGGCAGAATGACTCTCAGTGCTGCTGTCCACCTTGTGCTCCAAAACTGAAAGTAACATCTGCTTTGAAAGAAATTGCTGGGACAAAACAGCGACCATTTTAACTATCGAATTGCTTCTGAATTCTAAAATTGCTATTTTACTTTCTCTGTCCACATTGTATCCCTCCTTTCTCCATCCCTCCCACTTGGAACAAGATGTTTGGAGTGCTATCTTCCCACAGCCGCTAATAAGCCCATGAGCACCCACTGATGGAATAGAGGCCCATCAGAGGTCATTTTCCCATAGCCCTCTAAAACCTGGAATGAATCCTGGGGAATAACTCTACTGAATTTGGTGTTCACTCCTATATAAACATGTATATGGTAGGATTGTCCTGAGCAGAGCTGGCTAGAGCCAGGGGTCAGACTAGATGGCCTGGGAGACCCCTTCTGACTTGCTCTGTTTCTATATTTCTATGATCAGCCTGTATGAAGCTTGAAAGCACCATAGAAAAGCACTGTAGAGAATCTTTTAGGTACTGAGCAGTGTAGCTGAAAGAGCAATGCATCACATTGCAACAGCACTGCTGGATTTTCTAAAATACATCTGAAGTTCAATGCACAGCAAATTAGGATGAGATAAGCTGTAACCCAGGTACAATAATGAACATGTAACATATTAGCATGATGGATCACTAGGCGGACTACTGAAACAAATGGTGCAGCATGATAGTACAATGTCCGGAATCCAAGTATTTCATGGAGCTTACAAAACACTATTAATAGTAAGAGGATGAATAGATGCCTATAAATGCTGCTGTTTATGATGTATCAAAGATTTTAAGGCTAGAAATGTGTCATCTTTTGTACATTTCCCAGTACAGAAGCTTCTTTTTGAAGGATAATAAGGTCAGAAGTAGCTGAGT